TTTCTCGTCTTCTATTTTTGGTGAATTCTGGGGTTTTAAATTAAAATAGCTGATAGACGCTTTGGCCATTTGCCTCGAAATTTTCACACATTATTGACAAGGTGTTCCCCCTTCAAAATGCGTCCGGACAGTTTATTACGGCGAGTGGAACAAAAATAACAAGTCCGCAATTAACATGGATATATAAATTATGCAAAAATAGAAAAGAGTGAACTTTGAGGTCATGCTGTGCGACTTTGAAAGTCGTTAGAGAGATGAGTGGACGCATTTGAATTAGTAGTATACCAAGGTATCCAGTGATGTAATTTTACCCACAAATGGACTTGAAGTTTTTAAGCTAATTTTTTTTAAACCACTTTTGTCCAAAAAAGCATATTTTTGACCCAAAATCAAAAACGCATTCTGGATATTTAAAATAAAGACAAGTTTTACAAAGTTTGTATAATAAGCTTTCAGAAAATATATAACATGTTGGATATATAATACCATCTTCATTGTCTAATTACTCAATTAAAAAGCAAGCCAAATAAACTGCATCTCTACCTTAAATCAATAAACAAGATATAATGTAATACAATGTTATACAACACAGGTAAACAGTAGAAATCTGAACCATGCATTGTTCTCCCCAGACTCAAAGCCAAGCATCACAGCTAATTTTGCATAATTTTATTTGCATAATAATTAGTTTCCCCAACAAACATTATAACTGCATATCTCATATCATTTAAATTCATTGTATTGTGCATCAAGTCAAATAAAGTTTGAAATAGAACAGAAAAGAAATGGAAATACTTAACCAAAATACAGGGTTCTGCCTAGACTGGCGCAGTCGGGGCGATTAATTTGTTTTTGTAGTTTAAATAAAATAAAAAAAAAAATCGCGACTGGTTTATTCTGCAGGAAATTCATTGCTATTAAATATTCATGATGCACATATTATAATGAGGTGGGCGCGGAAATACGTGCATAATGAGGTCAACATGGTAAAGGTCACACTGCAGATCCAACATGGCGGCACGTTGAAATTCGAGTTTGTCGTAGTCGTTGTTTCTAATTCATCACAATGTGTAAAAAAGTAACTCGTACTAGTCGTAGAATTAAAAAAATATTGACTGCTACAATCAACCGACGTCTTCGCGGTCAGAGGTCAGTTGAAGAGACGCTGTGATTGGCTCAGATGCTTGTCAATTAGAACACCATTAAGATAATTACCCGTTGAAAAATCGACTGATTCCTGCAGTGTCGATAGAGGGCCATGCAGAATAAACCAGTCGGGGTGATTTTGCAGTTACAAGGGCTTTTGCGCTAACACCTCCATTTCGCAATTTATTTAATTTTATTTAAACTACAAAAACAAATTAATCGCCCCGACTGCGCCAGTGTAGGTTCTGCCCAGCCCGATTTGAGTGCCGCTTGCTAATTAATATTCATGAGTTCATTAATATTCATGAGCTAATTAATATTCATTTTTCCATTCTACTAGCTTGATAAAAGTGAAAAAATATATACACTTTATTTTTCGCAATCACATCAAAAATACGTATTTTGAGACATTGACCTCTAACCTGGCAGCCATTTTTGTTGTCAAAGCATGTCGTCCGTTTGTTACGGCCAAAGTGGAAAAAAGAATTTAATTGTTTTCTTTTCCAATGGAATGCTGGTAAATCACATTAATAGTGAGAAATAAGTATTCCTTGTATTGCTGACTGAATATATATAGCTTATGAATTTAATTTTATGAACAAGTCATGAAGCCAAAAACATCAATAAAGTGTACTACACTCGAGTGCAATTGCAGATTAAACAAACGACAGCATCGCTGCTGGTGAAGTGAGCAAGTTATTGTTCAACTTGACTAACACACAACTAAACTTGCAATGGTAATCCTTTCTCTGTTTATTTATCGTTGTCTTCCCTTCCATTATCTTGATGTACGACTTATTCCGATCTGGTTCGTTTGTTAAAACTAACAGAATGTCACTCGGAGAAGGTTAAAACAAAAACACATTAGGCCGATGACACACGTGTATGTTGATTTTGAACAGCGGTGTCTTCTTTCATTAAAATTTTGGTGTGTGTTAATTTGTTGCATTGTGTCTTGTGTTAAATCCAACAATGACAATAGAATGATGGTTCTGTGGCCGACATCCTGTGTGTATCATAAACAAATAGAATAGTGCCGGTCACCAACTTTTTGTCCTGGTCGAAAATGTATGAGCTGACAGTGATAGGGGCACTAAAACTGACTGTGCTTGTTGTACATTGTACATAATATAATGATGAACCAGTTACCTCCATTGATAACAATATACATGTGTATTTACTGACTGGCTATGACATAAATATTTCCTTTGCTTTTTTTGCTATATTTCAAACAATGGAGTAAGTGATATAAAATATATCAGACTATTTCGTCGTTAATTGCAGATAGAATGACAAATTTCTGTAGTAACAATAACACAGTTATTGTATCAGAATGTTTGTTGGGGAAACTGATTATTATGCAGATACAATTATGTAAATTAGATGCATTATTATGCAAATTAGCAATGACGCTTGACATGAAGTCTGGGAAGAACACCGTAGGAACCATAACATTTGTTATTGTTTGGTCTCATCCCTTAACCATACAACATCCAGGGTTAATATGGCAGATTTCTAAACATACCGGTATGCAAATTACTGATATCATTTCCTATGGTGAGCAATGTGTTTATCTTATCAGTCATTTATTTTGAGGAAAAATATGTACCAAACGTTCATAATTTTCCTAAAAATGTTATATCTAATAAATGCCTGCGATTACAATGATGCAATATACAAATTGTTGGGGATTATGTACTAATCTTTTCCTGAGATCATTTTTATCATTAGGTAATTCATGATATAGATTGTACTTCATTAGGAGTACACTAATTGAGTGTTTGAAATAAAATTCCAAAAAGTTCATTCTCTTCTCATTTCCAGCTTTTTATGCAAGAATAGAAAACTATGTTTTTATTTTTTACATTTTTGTTTTATAGCCTGGATCGAGTACAGATGGCCATGCTGTGAGTAAAATAAATGGAGGTGGTGATTCAATGAACTTGAAGCAGATTATTAATAAGGAAGATACAGAGCATACCGGTTTAGAAGAAGGTGCTGTATAGTTGTATAATTTGACAGTAGGGTGACTGGACAAAAATACCTTGTTGGAAGATAACTGATCATCTATTCTTCAATACTGTAGTAATTGTATAACCAACTATTCTATTCTATTCTATTCTATTCTATTCTATTCTATTCTATTCTATTCTATTCTATTCTATTCTATTCTATTCTATTCTTCATGTTCTGATCAACTGATTACAGCTACTGTACTGCTACATTTTTTTTTCACTGACATTTAATCTCACTATGTTTTGAGCATATTCAGTGTATTTTAATTCCATGAATTTGTCAAGGAAACAATGAGTTTCTTGCTATTTTGCATGTTCATGTATAAGCAGCTGATAAATAGGCAAGGTTAACATAGTTTCACTATGTTTGAATACTCCACAATGTGTTTATAGCTTGTTTCTTGAAAGGTCAACTCGTTTGAATGAATATTGTAAATCATTTGTTGCTCATTATAAATAAATCTAATCTTGAAAAATGGAATTTCAAGTGGTATTGTGCACACCTTAAAATACTTTATTTTAGCTGGAATTAATTTTTGCTGAATATACTTAATGGGTGTTTTTTATGGAATTTATTTTCACTGATTCCTGACGAGTTTAATATGAAATATAGGAAAAAAGGCATACTCGCTGGATTTTGTTTTCACTGAATTATTTCTCATGATTGTCAATGAATTGTTAGGCACAATATATAATAATAGATTCATTAATTCTTTGCTCTTTTAATTGTTCTCCAACATTTCTGACAAGAATAATATTTTTTACTTTGTCAAATGAACTATTTTATTTATAGTCTGAGATTTTGTTTTTATGTTTTTGCAACACATTTTTATTTTAATAACACCATCTCATTGCCAGTTATTAGTCCCTGTTCGGACGCAGTCCGAAAACGGGGACTTATGTTTTGACCTCTGTTTTTCTGTCCGTGTGTGCGTGCGTGCGTCTGTCCTGTATCTTAGAAATGCCTGGACCAATCACAATCAAACTTTACACATCATACATGATATTATACATATGCACGTCAATTTGTTTCATGATCTTATTCAAGATGGCCGAATGACGGCCATTTTTGTGCTAAAAATCATCAAAATCAAGCATTTCTCGGCTGTTTACAGATGGTTTTTGTTCAAACTTGGTATATACATTAGACATTATGAGACCTTGATGCAAATAATTTTGTTTTTCAAATAAGATTCAAAATGGCCAACTGAATGTGGTTCTCATGCTGTCTGGCGGCCATTTTGTTTTAATGAATGGGCTTCTAGACCTATATCTCCGACTTGTTTTGACTGATTACATTCAAATTTTAAATATTCATTATACATCATGTCATAGATAAACAGATATATTAGTTTGACGATCCTATTTAAAATGGACGAATGGTGGTCTTTTTTGTGTTAAAAAATCATCAAATATCAAGCATTTCTGGCATTTATAGATGGATTTCGTTCAAACTTGGTTCATTCATTATACAGTACGGGTTCCTGATGCACGTCATTTTATTTTTCAGATTGGATTCAAAATGGTTGACTGGCGACCATTTTTAGTTCCCGTTCAGACGCAGTCCGAAAACGAGGACTTATGTTTTAACCTCCGTGTGTCCGTGCATGCGTGCATGCATCCGGACCTGTATCTTAGAAATGCCTGGACCAATCACAATCAAACTTCACACGTACATCATACATGATATTATACATATGCACGTCAATTTGTTTCACGACCTTATTCAAGGTGGCCGAATGGCGGCCATTTTCATGCTAAAAATCATCAAAATCAAGCATTTCTCGGCTGTTTACAGATGGATTTTGTTCAAACTTGGTATATACATTAGACATTATGGGACCTTGATGCAAGTAATTTTGTTTTTCAGATAAGATTCAAAATGACCGACTGTTTGTTTTTATGAATGTGGTTCTCATGCCAGATCTCTTACTTGTTTTGACTGACTATATTCAAATTTTAAATATTTATTGTACATCATGACATAGATAAACAGATATATTGGTTTGACGATCCTATTCAAAATGGCCGAATGGTGGTCATTATTGTGCAAAAAAATCATCAAATATCAAGCATTTCTGGCATTTATGGATGGATTTCGTTCAAACTTGGTACATACATTAGACATTACAGGTTCCTGATGCACGTCATTTTATTTTTCAGTTTGGATTCAAAATGGCTAACTGGCGGCCATTTTGTTTTAATGATTGGGCTTCTAGAGCCATATCTCTTAAATGCTTTGACTGATTATATTCAAATTTTATATATTCGTTATACATCATGTTATATATATACATGTATTCAAAATGGCTGATTTTGAATGCTGTTCCAGAGCAATATCTCTCAATATGGACAAGTACTTGTTTGACGATCAGATACAAATGTCAATCATTTTAATGTTAAAAAATCATATTCCTGACATGGTTATATTCCAGCTGTATTACTATAAACAAAACTATATATCTTAAATTTGATAACTAACGGGGACTGTGCCATGCATGGCTTGTTAATGAATATTTTTTGCTAGCAACCGATTAAGGGTGTTAGTTTCCTAAAATGAATTTCAGTTGCACATTCAACTATATTTAAATTTATCTTATGTAAAAGTAGGCAGGCTCTCTGTGTGTCAAATTTTATGGCAGTATAATTTTTAATAATGACCTGTACATGTTGTTAAACTCAAAATACGCTGATTGGTTCCAGCATAGAGCTAAAACAAGATTAGGTTTATGTTCCATCAAGTGTTGATATGTATACTTATGACATTTTACATGGCCCCAAATTGTCAACTATTGCTCAATTGAAAAAGAGTTATTTGGTCAAAAAATTATCACCAAATATTGGGGGGGGGGGGGCTTATATCGTACTTATTCGGGTAAGAGCCCATGCCTGGACAAATGCCCACCCCCCACTTTTGACACACTAAAGAAGTTGAGGTCATATCCGGGCACACGCCCAGGGGGTCTTTTTCTAGACAAAAAAAAACAACAAAAAAACTATTTTCTATTCGTTGACTGGTTGTATTAACAGATGACATCTTGAAGTCTGTCGTGATACTTGTTAAAAATTGTTTATTGCGTAAAAAACAAGGGGTGAACGCAAAATAGCTGTGACAGCTTTCTGCCTTCAGGGCAGCGCGTTCACCGCTGATCTTTTTCAGAATCATAACAGTCAGCAAGTCTATAAAATATATATTAAAGCAGAAACGGTAGTTCTCTTTTTGAAATATGTCGTGGTCTTTTTGGTTTGTGCTTCCTTAGAAACGATTCAAGCACATCGTACAAGGAGAGCCGCTAAGCAAGTGTCGCACTCGTTCGGCTTTAGCGTCGTCGACAATGAAACCAATGTTGCAATCATGTAGCAACCCGTACCTTGGAGAGTGGTTGAAATCACGTTATTTTGGCTTTATAAAATATTTTGTAGCAGCTTGCGAATCCATAACTGGGCCAGCAATTTTGCAATGTCACGCCGAAGACTGCCAACTTTTTTACCATCTTTCATCACCGCTATGGCATTTCTGTCATGAAAACTATTCTTCTGTCGTTGGATAAAAAAAAACTTCCTATTTTAAGTCCACCGCAATATCCATATAGTTAGACATTCCAACTGCTGGAACTTGCTGAATGATAACTTTCACTGTGATTGATAAGCGTTGAGTCTGATAAGAAAGCAATGACACGGTTTGACCTTTATGATGAAATACTAGTAGTGATGTCATTCTTAGCCAATCAGTAAAGCAGATGCATAAAGGTCAAAGATGATTGCCAGACTATAAACAAAAGCATCGTGCGCCATCGCAGCGGAGCAACCCCTATTTTTCTTGTCTCTTTATTATGATTAGACATGAATGAAAAGTGCCAAGCTGACAGACTGCGAAATTCGCCAAGTTCAAATTGTGTGGGACGATATCGACGAACTTCAGGCATAAGTTGTAGGGATTTTGTTCGACGGCTACAGTGACGCTGTCTTGGACTTTGAGGGTTGTGAGTTTGACGAAGATGACAATGAACGTACAAATAAAGATCTGAGAAGTTTTTTTCAAACAGCTATGAATTTTTATAATTTTTACTGTGTAAATTTGTAAATTATTATTGATCTTGTATGACGGTTGATTCGTAATTTGTCGAGACCAGAAATCATTTTCCGCAGTTTAACCCCTGACATTTTAATTCATTTTGAGTTCACGCGTATTGGGCGTGTTTGTTGGCGGGAAAATCCTAATTCAAATGATTCCTCACTGTCTATTTTTAGCTCCGCTGTCGACTTTGTCGAGCGGAGCTTATCATATGAGTGATTGTCCGTCGTCGTCGTCGTCCGTGTCAATGTTTTACTTTTTCGACTTCTTCTTGAAAACTACAAGCCTAAATGCTTT